ACTTTGAAAAACAGATATTTTTTTCAAAGTTGTATTCACTTTACTACTGAAAAACTGATCTTCTAATCCAGGGCTTCTTAAACTTCTTTTATTCAAAACCCCATTTATGATTGTGATTTTTTTCGCCCTCCCCAAAATATATACAGTAGATCCCCCTATAAGACGGGTTCCTATAATTACGATTTCTATAAGACGGCGATAAAATTGTGGTGGTATCCGTAAACAACGGCAAAAAACCCCTATAATTATGTAAAACGTCATCGGGCAGCCGAACTACTTTCCGCCATTCAGCACCACGCTACGGACAGTTTAGGTGGATAAATTGAGTTTAGTATCGTCTGTACATATAATTATATATAAATTAGGTACTGTATATATAATTATATATTAACTTAATTTATTGTAACTTTATTATAATTATATGTATACTTTCTGCTGTTTAGCGCCAAGCTACGAACAGTTTTGGTGAGCTATCGTCTGTACAGTATGTAAATTAGGTACCGTAAGTCTAATACAGCACTGTAATTTTATACATTTCTTGTGAAAGAAACATTTCTTATTCAATGGCGATAAAAATTATTTATATTAATGATGTCTCCAAAGTTCAACGAAGTTTTCACAGAAAAATAACATCAGAAATTGTGGCCACGGTTTGTTGCGCTGTTCCGCGACGAAAACAAGCTTGAGCAATGGCAATGTCGAATGGTGCACACTCGGTAAGTAATCCTACAATTTTTTGTTTATAGCGTAGTTTATATGGATTATTTCCAAAAAAATATATAACTGTTTTGGAAATGTTGAGTCGAATTAGTCTAGAATCGATTAATTTTATGGAAGAAACCTTTCAAACAGCCGTAGTCCGTAAACTTCACACATGTCAGGCTGTGATTGGCTGTGATTCCTACAAAATTGATTCATAAAGAATGGAACGTATCTACCGTCTTATAGAGGGATCGACTGTATACATAAAATAAAGATATATACAGTACAAATTTGCAAAAACAATAATGGTGTACTACCACAGTTCACTCTTGTGTTACAATGGAACAGAGACAACTGAATGCACTAAAAATCAACAACACTACACTAGTTCACACTACAATCGTTGTCTCGCTGCAACAGAAGTGACATAAAACGCAACTCACAAAACCTATGACAAAAAGCGTGCCATTTTCAAACTATCACAAATTATTTTCAATATTTTGCATTAAAATCTCGCGACCCCAAGATTTCACTAAGCGACCCCAAATGGGGTCGCAACCCATAGTATAAGAAGCCCTGTTCTAATCTATTCTCCAGTTTATTTTTCAGGTATAACATTATGCCACACAATTCAGAACTTGTTACTGATTGATTTTCAAGCTGTAAAATATGCTAATTCATAAGTCCCATAAAATTATGCACAAATTGAATATAACATTGGTTAAAGATAAATTATCTTCATCTCAAATCCCATCTTCACTGTCCTTCACGAACTTCCAAATGGTTTTGTGAATATCTTCTTCACGCCATTGTACAAAATAAAGTTTTATTGCTGTCCAGGCATTAACAATTTTTTCCAGAGCTTTATGTAGAGATAGACCTCTTTAGTCCTTCACAAACTTTGTGTACAAGTTCTGAATTTCTAATATACAATATTGTTTATTTTTATAATTATGTGGGGGATTTACTACACAACCTGGAGAAATAATACTTAAACCCAGTGTCCAGATACAACTCGCTGAAATCTGGAGTCTCCAGGGCGTGTTCAGTAACGCAGAATTCTTGCTAAGTCTACTTATGCTGCAATGCTGAACTCGTTTCTAACTACTGCTTGACTCCTCCCACCACTAGCTTCTTTTATGTATTCTTAGCTTCGCCCATTAGGCCACTCAGAATTCTAACTTAGGTGTTCTGCGTTACTGAACACAGCCCAGGTCAAACCCAGAGAGATGGCAACCTAGTCACATGCTATAAATAGATTATATTGTTTTCAGAGATAATCTATATATATATAAAATTACTTGTCCTGACTGACTGAGTCACTGATTCATCATTGCCCAGAGCAAACCGCTGAACCTAAACAGATGAAATTTGGTACATAGTTAGGGTACATCATGGAAACACACACTAAGAAGGGATTTTCCGAAATTCCCCATTGGGGGGAGAAGGGGAGAATTAAGGCTAAACCGGAAGAACGGTTTCTACTGTAATATTTTAGATGCGATTTTTTGTTTTTAACTGCGTTTTAGTAGGGTATGCCATGGGTATGGACAGTAAGAACGGATTTTTCAAAATTCCCCAATGAGGGGAGAGGGAGAGCATTAAGGCTTAACCTGAAGAACGACTTTTGAAATTGATTCCATACTTTCCCTTAAATTGATAACATTTCAGACATTTTTATAAATATTTTCATATATTTCAATTTTTTAACCAAATGTTAACCATTTTAAATTCAAATTTCTTTCTGCTTTTTGGTTCGATTATAGAACGATTGTACATGTTCCAGAAAATTCATCAAATTGAAAACAGTTTGTTTAATTCTCAGCAATTCTCATCATTCTCAGTGGTAGGTGTTATATAACAAATACTATGGTTGTTGAAATACTGAATATAAATAGGGTTTGCTTGCAAAACCTCCGCGGACGAAGATGCGAGTAACAGCTAGTAAGTATATAAAATCAAAGAAAGAAAATTCAATATGATCTAAAATATATTATTTATATCTTGAAAATGTTAGTAATAACATCATTCCTAACATAAAAAATATAATATTTTATATATATTTATTTATTTGTGAAATACAGGTACAGTAATATCATTAAGACAATAATTGCTGTCCTCCAATACAAGGAACATAAAATGAATCCCATTAAAATATCAAAGTACTATAACAACAACAACAAATATATAAAAATAACATAAATAAGATTATATAATAATGTATAAAATTAAGTGGTGTATTTTTACAACAGCTTTGTATTTATAGTATTCTAGGTAGAGCATATTTTCAATTTTATTAACTGCCTTGTAATAACAGTAGAAAATTATTTAATTATTTAACAAAAAGACATGAAGACTGTCTACTATTAACTGTCTGAATTTGTAATTTAATGTAATGTGAAGAAAGCAGATCATTAAAATATTTATAAATATATTATTGGTGAAAATAGTCTATACTTTTAAATACAGTGGAACCCCGGTTAACGAACGTCCTGGTTAACGACCAAATCGGTTAACGAACTATTATTTTGAAAAAAATTTGTCTCGGATAACGAACTTAACGGCTTTTTGTGTCAAATTTGTAAGCTTGTCGACTTTTAGGGAAAATCAGTTAATCGTGTGTCGGTGATGGTCTGGGGTCCATTCGTACGTTGGTGATGGCGGAGGAGACAAAAATGACAAGTATTTTATAGTGAAAATCGTTTATTAGAACGGGAAGATGCTTATATATTTGAGGTAGTTGGAAATGGCTTATCTACAGTATTTTCTCTCGGCACTGGGGAGTGGCGTATCGCTGGTCCTACGATAGTGCAAACTGATCAGTCGTAGCCCCAGAGCGGACGAGATGGGTTCGCTTGGTCACAGAAGCGATGGTAGATGACAGAGTCGCAAGACTGGAGCGGTCCGCGAGACACAACACAAATTTTAGCGGGAACGACTTCAGGCTTAATCCAGACGAAGACGACACAGATTAATCGCCATAGAATTTTTAGGAAAACTGCGTTTTGACCTTGATATTCGGGGTTTTTATAGTATTTCTTCCTTGAATCTCACCTTACGATTTGTCCTGCTTCCCATACCTCACTTCCCGATTGTTTTCTTCTTTGTCTCCAGGTGAAAACCGAAACCAGATCAGGTCACGAGAAAGGTTTGTTCCGAGGCGTTTCTTTGACACCTGTTCGTCGACTCTGATCGGAGATTGTTGATAAACCTATAAGCCTTTCGCTCTTAATTTAGCCTATTGTTTCTGCTATCTGTCATTTTAGAACTTTAACGATCGTATGTGATGTTTTTTATACCCGTCAAATCTTTCCTTTTTTCCGAAAATTTAATGTAGATCGACTGTTTATGAGCACGTTTTCCTATATTTTCATTAAAGAAAACCCATTTTACAAATAAAATTACAAAAATACTGACGGCTAGAACGGATTAATTGTATTTGCATTAATTTCTATGGGAAAAATTGCTTCGGTTAACGAATGGACTCGTGGAACAGATTATGTTCATTAACCGGGGTTCCACTGTATATCAGGAAGACCTAATTGGATATAATTAAATTGGGGGAGTTTTATACGGGGCAGATGATACTTTCTACTTAATAACCTAGTAAGTTTATTAAGCAGAAAGTATATTTTATTTGGCATTGAGTTTTTTTAAGACAGATAGAGATATACAGGCCCATAACCAATGCATAATCAATTATAGATTGGATATTAGTAAACAATATTAAATGAAGAGTGTTTTTAGCCAAATTGTTTTAAAATTACAGTCAACCCCTCTACAACACTGTTGATAATTCCGTTTTATATGAATTCCATGTTGTACGAGTCACTTAGATTATGCAAATACATGTTCCGGGCTGTGAACGGCTCACGTATTTGTAAAATCTAAGTGACTCGTACAACATGGAATTCATATAAAATGGAATTATCAACAGTGTTATAGGGGATCGACTGTACACTAACATTCTGTGGCAGATAAAAAAAATTTAAATTATCAATGAAATTTGTGTTCTGGGTCCTGGCCAAATAGTGCTACTGTTCTCTCTTATCTTGATTGAATATATTCGATATACGATTTTCTTCTAATTTAGTATTTCTCTCATATAAACCGTAATTCTAAATATTTAGTAAGAACAAAAATTTATTAAAGTATATTTCATATACTTTGAAATAATTATGTTCGATTCACTAAGAGATATGATAACTTCCAATTTATATTACGTGAAAAAATCTTATAAATATCGAAATTTAAGAAAATTCAAAGCATTTATTTGCCAAATGATGAAAAATACCCACCTTTAATTGCTGTATTATTTTAAGAAACAGATTAAATTCTCTGTTTTAATTTAAATACCGGTACCCTATTTTGAATTAAAAAAACATCACACACTAATATAAAATGCAATTAATATAATTACATTCCTCAAGTTAAATTAATAAATATTTAACCAACTATTGATTTCTAAGCACACGACAACAAACAATAAGATTTCTCAAGTCCTAGAAACGAAAACATAAACAACGTGCAACTTTTAAATCTCGAACACATCTTGTGATTGGTCATCCGGTCATGTCCGAAAAATAAACTTTCCTATTGGTTAAATATATTTTCGATATATTTCCTAAAATTAAATTTAATTCTACCGAATAATTAAAATTAATTAACGAATTAAGATGAGGAATATTAATATTTATAAGAATATTTTCATAAGTTTACAATAAAAATTATTAATATGAAATATTTAAAATAAAAATTTTTATTATTACGTTTATTTTTAATAACATTACGCATTTAAAATATTAAATTGCAAAATAACACGAAGCGAACGAAATTATTTACAGAGTTTTTTTTGTTTTTTAAAGAATCTATCAAATATCACCGACGTCATTTAGCTTGCGACCAATCGGATGTCGTGTTACTATCAAAGAAAGATGCAACACGTGTATGTAATCGCCCTTTAAAAATAAGTTGTGACGTCACAGGAAGGGAGGATCGTGGCTCTGGGCGAAAGACGAGTAGGAGACGTAAGTGGATCTGGGTTTAGAAAGGAGCCACGATTGCCAACAAATTTCCTACCTTATCGTTCGGACAGCTTTAACAGCACTATTGAGACCGATTTATGTAAGAATGGCAATCAAAGTATATATCTCCGGCGTTTGTGGTAGTCAAGAAGTAAGTTCATTCACCGTTTAGGCCTAGTTTAAATTATATTCTACCTTAATTTACTGTGTATAATTTTTTTAAATGTGTTCATAAGCAAAATATATAAAATATGTCATCGTTTAAATATATCCTGATGGCCTCTTATCAACAAAATTAATATTAAAATCATCCTTGACATCCAATGGCACTGTTTAACTCAAGTATCTATCCATTATTTTAATATTTTCACAATTTAAATTTGAAGAATTTTTTTAGTCTGGATATTAAATCAAGGTTTCATGATATTTAAGTAAATGCATTTAAATTTAATGCATTTATCTAAATGTTTCAAAACCTTGATTTAATTTTTACGTTGATTTCTTTTTTAAAATTTGAGTGGTTTTAGCTTTATTTATGAAGTGTGGATGAGGGGTGCCAAAGTTCTATCGTTCCTTTCTCTGTAAATCTTATGAGAATTTTGATACAGTGCCTCTAACATCCGAAAGTTTTCGGCGACGACAACTTTGTTCACTTAATTTATTGTTATGGATGCATTATGGAAGAGTAAAATGTCATTTTAATTGTGTAAAACATCTAATGTTTTAATACTGTGAAACGGTAAAATTGGTTGTTTAACATTACAGATATGAGAGTGGTCTTTAAAGTATGTGATCTGCCTTTACTTGAATTTGGAAATTGTCAGAACTAGTTTTAAAATTAATTTGAACTGAAGAGGGAAGAAAATGTTATCACAAAAAGCACTTGTAACAATAAATTAAACAAGTCAAGTCATCATCATTTGAAAACCTTTGGATGTTAAAAGTGCTTTATTGAAATTCTTAAATTGTAAGGTTTAGAGAAAGGAAAGATTCTTTTTTGAAACCTGCTACGGATTCATATGATTGATGAGCCTTAAATTACTATTTCTTTGACAATGATAGGAGGTGGAAATCTGCGGTAACATATTACCAATTTATTAAAGTGATAGATCTGATGACTTTAAATGCATCATATTATAATTGATCTATGCTTAGGTAAAAATCAGTCTTATTTAATAATTTATGAACTAAAGCTATATACTGTATATATCTTGTTTCACAGATGAAGCCAAGAAAAATAGTTTAGTGTGTATCTTGTTAGAATATTTGCATTGTTGGGTAACTTAACCTAGTTTGCAATTCTTGTTTTCTATTTATTTCTATCAAAAACAAAATATTTTTTGCATCTCTAAAGAAATAAATCATTTAATTAATATTGAAAGATTTATATATTTGTTGTATTCTTATGATAATGCATTCTTGAATAATTATTTACTATATTCTTTGATTTAATTAACCTTGTAACTGCTTAAATGAATTGGTCTTGTTTATCATTGACAAAAAAATTGAGTTTTAGAGACATGCCCTTTGTGATGTTTCTAAATGTAGTCCAAAAAATTTTCATATATGTGTGTATAAATCTCATATAAATAACTTAACTAAAATTTCAAAGATATTGCAGATGATTAAAATACTAGTCAAGTATCTATGAAATGTCATAAAATTATGTCATAAAATTATATACNAATCCTGTGTAAAAATTTTTAAATGAGCTTTCTTTAGAATTACTATTATGAACATATGATCTTGATTCTGTGTTATGAATTTCCTGGCCAGGAAATGTGGAAAATTTATGTAGAAAATTCATTAAAAGGAAAATGCACTAGTAGTAAATACAGTATTAATATAAGACATATATTTTCAACATTTCATAGAAAAGTTCATTGACTAGCAAAATTTATAATATAGGGCTTTGTAATAGTTGACTATCTTATAGCTATGCAAATTTTGTCCTTTATGTAAATATATAATATGGTTAAAGGTTATAAAATGTACCGAAAGAAAACTAAATATATTTAGTCACAATATCAAAATATAAATAAAAATAAAACATTAAAATATTTTTTAATTAAAAAAGTTTATGAAATTTATGTAAGATTTCATTAACTTCTATAAATGTAAGTATTTATAAATAAATTTATTAAAAACCAAATTGACTGATCCAATCTAAAACTATTTAAAATGTATTTTAGCTATATAAACAAATTGAAATTGCAGGAGTCACAATTTAATTAATTCAGTTTAATTACAACTTAAACTTGTCCATATAATTAATTATATAGGTTATCTTATTGGTCTGAGAAATATTAAATGCTTATTTATTATCAGAACATATACGTTGATCATGTTTATTACAATTAAAATATCTTATCTGAGCTAATAATTATCAAATCAAATTGATTTAATTTCATGATCAACTATGTCTGTTTTAATGCTGCTGTTTTTTTTCCCTTTTAATGTGAAACCAGATCAATAATTTCATAAATTATTCTTTAATTTATTACTTATAGCTTGTACAAAGATCCATCAAGCATTTTTGTCTAAATCTTAATGTCAGAAAAATGATTCTTAAATATCATTTTAACTGCCTTAAAATTTCATTAAAGTTCTTCATATATATATATATAGTTTTTTACGGTGCATTTTGATTATATGCTGATTATCATCTAGATCTACAAGGAAATCTTTATTAAAGTTTTTCATATAACAATATTTTTTTTATAATGAAGTGATGTTATCCTTTGATTAAACTAAGCTATAGTACTGTAACTATAATTTATATCCTCAGTTTAAAATTATGTGATGGCTATTGCTGTAATAATAATCCAATCTGCACATAGCTTTCAAACTTGCTTCTAGCATTTTTTTTTTTCTTCCTAAAATATACTGCTTCAAACAATCATTTTTTAAATTTATAAAAGCATCTCATATTAATTTATTATTATAGTTTTTGAATATGAAATATTTTGAATTTTTTAAAAATTCATATTGCTAATTTTTTGTATCAAGAATAGCATATTAAAGTTTTATATAAGTATAAATGCTATAAAATTAAACAATTTATTAAATTAAAATCTAATTTTAATAATTTTATTAATGAAAAGTTAAGAAAATTCACTAATATTTTTTAATATATTTCTAATGAAAGTAAATTACAGTTTTACAAAAGTTATTGTCTTTTTAAATTGGTTATTTAGCCCTATTAAAATGGCCTGATCCTTAAGTGGATGGGAAAAACGTTGATTATTATGACTTCTCTTTTTTTAAAGATCAGATTTGACCATCATTATTATCAGTTTATTGAGAACAATGGAATAATTCAAAAGATTTTAGCTATAGCATCATTCACTAATTCAAATTGTGACATAGTATAAACAACTGGATACTAATTTAACAAATAAGCTTATAAATCTATCCTTATCCTCAAGTTCTTTAGAAACTTTGAACATGAATATTTAAATGTTTCAATTCTATTTAATTTATAATCATTCTATTTTTTTTAAATGTTCTTTTGTACTGTTTTGAGCAGTTGAAGGTCTTTTGACAAGATCAAAAATGTCATTAAAGTTTCATTGCTGGATTTATAGGGATTTTTTTTTAAATCTGATAATTCCAAATAAACTGTATAACATTTAATTTGCTTAATTAAGACTTAAATGAAGTAGTAGTAATTTTTTTTCTTAAAATGTAATTGGAAGTTTAAACAATATCAAAACAGATTCAAATACAGAATGCCAGAATTTTTTTAATTTTAACAAGAAACATTTCATCCTTATTAAAATAAAAAGTTTTGGCTCCTACATTTGTATTTATTTTGGCATTTTATTTATGGTGTTGTTTCCTTCACTAATTGATTTTATAAATTCAAAATTTATTGTAAAAATCACAAATAAAAATGTTTTAAATATTGAATACATTCAACAGATGTATCTAAATATTTTTTTGACATTTATTAAATATTTCTTATAAAAATTTAAATGACTTGTCAAGTCTGAAATTTCTTTGTTGAAAAAATTGTTGTTTTATTAAAATTTAAAATGTCATTATATAAATAAAAACATACACAAACAATTGTGTAATAATTATATACCAACAAATTATTTGTCAGAAATTTTAAATTTCTGTAGAAACACTATTTCACCCATTTATCCTATCCTAATAATTTTATTATTCCAATTCATTAAACCAAATAGATTTCACTATTATTTTTTTAATTAAAACTCGATTGCAATTGATGTCACAATATCCAGATAAAATTAAAACAAATTTAAGTATTATTTTCTATTTTATCTTTGAATGATAAATGCTAATGCCACATCTGATTCAACTTTAAAATAAAAATATATTGTTGTGATTCAATAATTTAAAAATCCTGTGTAAAAATTTTTAAATGAGCTTTCTTTAGAATTACTATTATGAACATATGATCTTGATTCTGTGTTATGAATTTCCTGGCCAGGAAATGTGGAAAATTTATGTAGAAAATTCATTAAAAGGAAAATGCACTAGTAGTAAATACAGTATTAATATAAGACATATATTTTCAACATTTCATAGAAAAGTTCATTGACTAGCAAAATTTATAATATAGGGCTTTGTAATAGTTGACTATCTTAACTTTTACAAAAATCAAAATTTAAAACATCTAAAATGGCAAAAGAAATGACCCTTGTAACAGTTCATAATAAGAATAATAATAAAATAAAATTATTAAACTATAAATGCTAGTTCTGGATTATCTGACAAAAAAAAAGTTATACTTTCAACAACAATTAGTAGAAAACTCAAATATTACAAATTTAATATTTACAACAATAAAATACTTATTTGTAAAATTGTTTGAAATTTTGAATAATTATAATTAACATGATTAGGGAATATAATCAAGCAGAAGAAAAACCCTTAATCAGCCCCAATTCAATCAATTACTTAAATTATCAATGAATAGCTTAAAATTCCACAGTGATGCTCTGACCAGCAGTAGCAAAGTCTAGCTTGTTTTTGTCAGTATAGAACAAATAGTTTTTAATTGATGACCACATAGCTGAGATGGCAGACAGCAACTTGCTTCTCTTATGGCCATATTCATAACCAATGTTAAAATTAGAAGTTAACCAATAAGCATTCATGTAATTCACATATTGAAAGTGA